TTTTTGAGGTACTATCAAAAATCGTATTTTTTTACCAAGAAGATGGCCGCTGTGGGATTAGTTTAGATGGCGATCGGAAAGAGCTAAGTCAGGGCTACACGAAGACTGTGGTGGAATTCCCCAGCTAAGCTTCGGGATCTCGAGCAGTGTCACTTTTCCAAATGTTTGACCCTGAGATGTGGTGGAGTAAGCAAACATTGCTCGGTTTTGGGACCATTTCATTTTGGGAACATTTCGAGAGCGGAGAAAAGTACCCCATGCCACATTACACAGCCTCACCGCCCTAGGTATTGATAGAAAGAAATTGCGCGATCGGATTTCTGCCCTTTCTGGGAGATCTAGCCGCTGGCGCTCCCAGGAGTGATCACCTAGAGGCACCCACTCCATCAGTGCTGTTCAACCAGCCCGTACAGTGGAAGCGGGAAAGAAGTTGTAGGACAGTACCCACATGTGCTCCCTTGGAGTGTGGTCAACTGATGAGAAAAATTTTGACCGAACTTCAGAACTTTTCTAAGGGAGCGAGGCCTTCTCTCATTTGTGCTTTGGGACCAGTCAAGTGTAAGGACTAGGTAGCAAGTTGATTCGTACGACATTGCTGTTAACTCAGGAACACAGTCGTGGATTTCCAGAATCCAAGGCAGGTGGGCCCCCTCCTGGACGAAGTTTTTCACCCGGATAGAAGTCACTAAAGCAGAAGCAATTGAGCCATTCCAAAGCCGTACTGTGGAAGCTAACATCAAGATCCAAATAAGGGGAAAATGTTTTCGCTTAATGGCTTCAACCACGTTGTTGGCTCTACGGTTAGCGTCATATAGCGAAGTGGCCCTGTCGAAATGATGAATTTCAACTTTACCGTCTCATATGAGAACAGCGAGCTGGCGAGGCGACCGTTGACAGAGCTGTGGAATGCTTACCTCAACACCACGGTTCCCTCAAGGGACCACGTAATGGGTGTCTCGAGAATTGGCTCTGGAAAAATCTTGATACGATATTCAAACAAGCGTGGGTGTCCCAGAACTTTGTGGGGACAACCTAATCAGATAACTTGGGGCATCCAAAAAAAGCTCGTAGGCCGTGAAAGGGACAGCCTGAATCGAAAAATTGTCTAGAGAAGGCGCGTGGGGGGCAGCCGGGGGGCGGCCCTCGGCTGGAAAAATCGGTGCTGGGGTCCCCACACAGGGAACTTCTCGGCTATCGCTGTCGGGGTCTCGTTATGACGCAATGGGCTCTTAGATGGCTAGGAAAACAACGAAGCCTTGGACCGAACTATTAAACACACAGATGCCTTTTTCTCGAAAATATCATCACAACGTGGAGTGCTCCCCAATCCGAAACCTCTCCTCTCCCGAGCGCTCTTCCTCAAGACGGTAACTGCACAATCCATCGCGACTGTTTCATTGTTCGAAATATAGCCTTTCCAGTAATTTATCATGATTATCAGCAGGTGGAAAGGAAAAGTCGTACGTTGGAGAGTTTCCAAGGGGGAGGGGCATATATGGTAGTTACAGGCTGGGAGATCATATTTTGGAGAGTTCTCCTTAGAGCCACGGCGTGCCCTGGACGGAAGAAGTGCTGAACAGAACCGTATAAAGGGTGGGGAGTGTGGGGAAGAGTCGCGACTTTAAGGGGTGGGGCGTGGCGGCGGGGCGCCGTACTTCGTGAGCATGGTACGTGGGACGTGTGGTTTTAGCGAGAGACAGCGGTCGTACACGGTGGCCGGAGGGGGGGGGGTGGCTACGCTGCTTGTTGAGACAGAAGTGAAGGCCACTCTCGTTCTCCCCGTCTGACTGTGCGCTCGCCCGCACCCATGCCCCTAGCTGTGAAAGAGTTTTTCGAAGCAAAGGAGGATTTTTCGAAAAGAGAACTTTGGAAGGGGGATGGGGAAGAGGGAGGTCGTCTTTTGCAAGAAATGTCTCCAGCGGCAGGACCTTCTCCCTATTCCGCCTTCCCGCCTTATTCTCTACGGCTCTCCAGTACCTTTGAAAGTATAGACAGTCTCGACCCTTTAGCTCTTCCCTTAGTCTCTATGCTGTTAGCTTATGTCTCCAAATTATCAACATCATAAAAGCTTATGCCCACGTTACGTTCGTGTCCCCCCTTCACCGGACCTACAAAACTGCTCCGTGAAATTTTCTCAACAAACCTGCCGAGAAGCGCGCCTTGCCGTGGCGATGCCCCGCTTGATTCGAAAGCGTGCTCTGCTCCAAGGTTTTGCCCTGTCGCACCTCACACCACGTGCCGATGGCCTTACTTACGTCAACGCGTATCCACCCACGCCTCCCAGCAAGGAAAACACACATGGCATTAATTCTGTTTCTGACCAATCAAACCATGATCCACCCCCGATCAACATGTGCTCCGCGGCCCAGGAAAGTCTCGATTTTGCTTGACTAGTTTGCACAGTCCGTTCTTCGTCCCAGGCAGCTTCTGATTGAACCACTCGCGACCTTCTCTCCAACTTCGCTCATCACACCCTCCTAGCCCCGGACTCTACACCTCACGAACCACCCCGCCGCCACCCACCCACTCCAACCTCCCACCAACTTCTTAGGCAGACCTACCTACCGCTCACCTCCCATCCGACCAACGTCCCAATCCAGCCACACCCTCACACCCCCCACACGGCACGCAGTCCCGCGACCATCCCCCCGCCCCTACCCCCCTCCGCCCACCCCCACCACTTCCTCGACAGCCCACCTTGTTAGCCTCACACTCGTTCATTGCGCCCGGCCATACAGCGCGCCCTCCCCTACCCGGCTCGTGCCGCCGCTGCTCTCCACCCCCCACCCCCAACCCCCCCACCGCCCTGGGCTTCCAAATCCGGGGTCGCACCTCCCTCTCAGGCAACCAAAGCCCTTCTTACGCCTCCCGAGGCACGGCTAACCCACTCGGCGTACCGGGATTCACTCAGCTTCCCCATCGGCAGCCGGACACCAGTCAACGACGGCTCCCGAATCGTAGCCACTCTGGGACGCGCGGCCCCCCGCTCAAGTCCGCTCTGGTGTGGACTATGCCGCCAAGGCTCCTCACCCATACACCATAACAGCAGGCCCACTAATGCCGTCTCCTTGAACTCGCACACACTGCCGCCGTCGCGCCGAGCACAGCGCACATGCCCGCCCGGCGTCTATCACCCTCCACAAGCCTCAGCTATGACCTCGACGTCAGGGACGTTCGTTGTCGCACTCCTCTTGCGCGCGAAGACTTTGGTCGTATTGGTCGGCAGAGAGAGGGAGGAGAGTCGCATTTGCCTTTGAGAAAAATGCTTCCAGTTGTTGAAATTTCCGGGTTTTTAAGTGCGCTAAATATCCCTGCCATTCCCGTTGAGCGGCAGTTCTGTGTATTAAAAAAGTGAGAAATATCATGGAAAAATGAAGAAAGTTTGAGGTTAGGAAACGTCAGTTAGATGGTAAGCTGAGGAAGGGGGTCATCCCAGAGGAGAAACCTGTTGGGGGGTGGGGCAGTTGCACAAATTTCCCTCAATAGCAGGACGTGCCCTGACAGGAGAAGGTTTCCCAGATTTGCTGGCAAATCGATACGCTGTGGCTTCTGTGTATTTCCTGGCCGACAAACTGTTTCTTCGCATCATGCAGTACTAAATGTGATACTATAGTAGGAAAATATCAAAAATGACCTGAAACGAAGCTTATAACAGAAAATAGTTTCGCGTGATATAGGTGGATGGAAGCAGTGTGGTATATCCTGTACACATTATGCAGTTCGGCTAAGTGGGGCACCATATGGAACTCATTGTCAGCGAAGCCAGTACAGGCTACGTTGTGAACTTCTGTGACCAAAAAAAAGCTCTCCTGCACCATTGTGGCTTCATAAGAGATTAGCTGACATGTCGGGTCATGAGCCAACAAAATGAACCAGGAAAAATGCAAGGTCCTCCCCCCCCTCTCCCAACAGAGCCTACCCTGCTATCCACCCCCTCCCTTCACCTTCGGATCAACGAGTAATTCCAGAAACCTAAAAGTGGAGGTAATGAGGTAAATAAGTTGTTGGGTTTTTTGAAGAAGAGGGGTTAAAAGCGAAGGGCTATATAAGGAAGGGTGATTTTGGAATCATCACGCTGGAGAAATCGTGGTCATGACATGCTCTGATTGGAAAATATTTGGGATTAAGGCTCAGGATCACGTGGAAAATTGGGAAATTTTTACTGAATATACCCCTTGCCCTCCCCCGTCTCAAGCTCTCCTTTGGTACGACTCCTTCACAAGCCACCCACCCTCTCATCAAGATGAGCTCTGCTTGTGATAACTGGCCCAAATTACGTCTCATAGAAAGCGCTTGGGTCGTTGGCCTTGATTGGCTGGCTTTCAAGGGTTTGTACCCCAGGATCTTGCACGGTACGCAAGTTTGCTTTGACCTTTAGGGAACAGCGAACTCTTGGATAAACGATAAGAATATAGAGTTTCTATATTACATGAGCTGCATGAGGGTTGGAGGTGGCAAAAGGACAACTAGTGTTACGCAGCCTAGTGAGACAGCGAACGCTTACGGAGACCTGTAGCTTTTTGAGACGGTCAAGACAATCGTAATTAGCCGCTACGTCGCATATGGCAATGGGCGCTCCGTTTCATAATTTGCGTTAGCCAAGAAAGATTGTCATGGGCGGGCGCGACGTCGCACGCGAATGAAGACGCCAAGAGCCCACCACTGCGGCGAATTACGGTTGCCTTGTCACATAGCCGCTCTTTTACCTTTACTGCCTCCGTTTTCGAGAATGGATTCGATGTTTTCCTATAAAGGGAAAAAGTGGAAGGGGGAGTAGTCCCATTAAAAATCGTAACTGGTCCTCGAAAAGTGAGGCAATAAAAGGTAAGTAGCGTTTTTCTAACTGAAGTCTTTAGTTATGGAAATCTAGCGAGTCAGAGAGCTCTTTGGCGTTACCGTAGTTCGTTTTTGTCGTAGGTGTTAATAGCCGTCGCATAAGTGCAGCTATTAGGCGCTTTCCTGTCTTTCACGCAAAACTTCACATCGAAATGTGACTGACGTCAGCTTACCTTTATATAGGAAACAGGTGGAAGTTTGGAGTTGATACCGCTAGCTTGAGTTGTCATTGTGAGCAATGTGGTGACACCCAAAGATACCCGAGCTGGTACCGCATCCTAGACCGAGCAGGATTTTTTCAGCATAAGGCACATCAAATGATTGTACGGCGCACTTCGACACCGGCGGTGAGGGCGGGGGGGGGGGCATTTTGCACTTCCGCTGCTTCACTAATTTCACTGGCTGACAGGTTCTACGAACTTTCATCTATAAGTCTCACACTAGTAAATCCTGTCAGCTCTTGTAAGCTCGTGAAATAGCTCCCTAGATGGCCCGACACGTTGATGGGAAATACAGCAAATGTGCAAAATGCCCTCCCTCCCCCTCCCGCTGTACATACCTTATCGAGCCAGAATGAAACCCAAGAGACGACCACTAACATAATACATGGAATGTAGAGTTGAATGAGGTAGTAACTGGAACCATGTGAAGTTTTTTGATAGAATGGAAAAGGATGAGAAGGAGAAGGAGAAGGGGAACTCACCTATATTCTCTTCTTAAAAGCAGTTTGACCCGGGCACAACTGTATTCTCCTGTAATGAACTAATAAGGCACTGGGGTGGCGGAGTGCAGCGAGCGAAGAATAAAACGATGGAAAACGAGAAGACGAGGAGAATATGTGGAGGTATAAGGACGGATAGACGGACGGATCACGCGCCATGCTTCACATCAGGTAGACGGCCCAATATAACACTGAAACAGTTTTCACGATAGGCTCGCGACGCGGACAAGTAAGGAAGCGTTCAGACTTCGCGATGACATGCATCGATGTGCGACGACACACGAGTGCCTCTCCCCACTGTTTTCCCACACGCGTCGACGCGTAATCATTGTAAATATGCAGCGGTGCCAAAGACCAACAGCGTTTCGAGCGTCCGTCAGCGTCACCGAATAAGAAGGTATAGATATGGATCTAGCGTTTGCCAGCGTCCACTAGCGAGCAGCAGCGTCTCGAGTGATAGGGAAGTAAAGGTATCGATCTAGCGTTTGCCAGCGACCTGCCGCGTCCGGAAGCGGAGAGTATGGGGCGATAAGAAGGTAGTAGACAGCTGGTACCTTCTTCATCGACCCATACTCTCTACCAGCAGTTTGCTGCTGGTGGCTGATGGACCTTGATAGACGCTGCTGTTCGCTAGATCGATACTTATACTTCTCTAGCCCTGAGACGCTGGTGGACGCTGGCAGACGCTGGTAGACGCTCAATCTATATCTACACTATCTAGTCGCTGACGCTGCCGGACGCTGGTGGACGCTGTCGCAAAGTATTAGGTTGTCCGGAAAGTTCTCAGCGTTTTGTGTTACTATTTTTTGTACATTCATTGCTGATTAAAAACTCATTCTCCCTTGCGTCTCAGTAGTACATCCTGAAGAGAATTTTTGCGCTATCTGATGGTATAATTGCCGTTTCACCATTGCTTGATGACCCCCTTTTTTTTCAAGCATGTCAAAAGAGCAACTTCGGACGATATTTTTCTTCAACTACAAATTGGGTCAATCCGCAGTCGAGACAGCTCGACAAATTAACCAGGTGTGGGGGCCCAATAGTGTTGGAGAAAGCACCGTGCGACAATGGTTCGACAAATTTCGTTCTGGAGATTTCAGCCTTGAAGATGAACCTCGTAGCGGTCGACCTAAAGCAATATCTGACGAGGATTTTGGAGGCTGACCCATCCCAAACAGTTCGAGAGATTGCAGAAAAGCTAGGCGTTGGCAAATCCACTGTTGCGGATGGTCTGAAACGCATTGGGAAGGTGAAAAACTCGACAAGTGGGTGCCCCACAATTTGAGTGACCGGCAGAAATTGGCACGTCTCGAGGTTTCTTCTTCACTGCTTTTGCGCAACAGAAACGACCCGCTTTTGGACCGAATTGTCACGTGTGATGAAAAGGAGATCATGTATGATAACAGGAGACGTTTCGGACAGTGGTTGGATGCCGGCGGACCCCTGAGGCAATTTCCAAAGCCGAATCCTCACGAAAAAAGATTCTGGTCACGGCTTGGTGGTCATCGGCTGGTGTGATCCACTATAACTTTTTATCACCAGGCCAAACCATCACAGCAGAACCCTACTGTGAAGGAATCGACGAAATGTACCGAAAATTTTGTCAGCTGCAGCCAACACTTATCAAAAGAAAGGGTCCGATTCTTTTGCATGACAACGCCCGCCCACACGTTTCACAAATCACTATCCATAAATTGAACGAATTGGGGGTTGAAGTTCTACCTCACCCGCCATATTCTCCAGACCTTTCACCAACCGACTATCACCTTTTCAAACATTTTCAGAACTTCCTTGCTGGAAAATACTTCATCAATCAGGACCAGGCAAAAAAGCCTTCGTGGATTCTCGACCACCCAGTTTTTTCTTTGATGGGATTTCTCGACTGGTGTCACATTGGCAAAAGTGTGCTGATTCGAACGGTGCTTATTTCGATTGAATCCGATGAGTATTAAGAAAGTTATGATCGTTTAAAGTGAAACACCCAAAACGCTGAGAACTTTCCGGACAACCTAATATGAACGCAGCCTAAGGGAGAAAAAGGGGGTACGTGTGTGTCGTCGCGCGTCGACGCTCGTCATGGCAAAGACTGAACGCTACCCAAGTGGTGCGACTAGACGCCGCGTACCTACCGTTGAAACAGGCATATCCAATAGGGAACACCTAAACAAACATTGAGTAATTCCAAAACATGTAAACATGTAAACATAAGGAATATAGACGTTCGTAAACGACAACAAGAGGGATTAGGGCGATTACCAGACGGGAAACGACGTCGATACGTTTTGAGCGTTCTTTGTAGTGGCGAACGAATATACGGCAACAGAACGAGGTCCGTGGTGGACTGCCGGCCAACGGTCGATAGCCATCTTGGGGCAACTGCTTCATCTGAAGGGTTCAGAGCTCTGAAGAGCACCCACACACATGCACATATAGAGGTATAATCTTAGTTGGAGCCGGCTACACACCATACGTTGACCGCAATTGCTCATATCCTTTCGAGCAGCGTAGTTGACCAAGGCGAATTCGAGTAGAGCGCCAAAAATGAACGCAAGACATACGCCAATCCACACATCAATCGCCTTAACGCATTGGCTTTCGATATGAAATTAGAGACACACACAAGTGGTGCCAAGACTGCGATCACGCTCGGACACCAGACAGCTGACCCTTTCCACTCTATACTGGTAGGGATGTGACACCAAAAGTTTTCTTCAAAATCGCGTCCAGCAGCTCACCCCTGAAGCGCAGTGCATTGGTTTCCGCCGCAGAAAATAGTCGCCTAACTGCCGACACTTTGTCGCACTTGGGTACGTCATACGTTATGGAATCATTACATGGCGTACGTCGGGATCCCCAGCGGGGGTGGGTCGCATTTGGCCAGCGCACAGGGGGATATGGATCGTATACGTTCGTTAACTTTCTTCTTTTTTCCCCCTCTCCATGTGATCATCCCCACCCCTCGGTCGACTCAATGAGTTTTGGGAAAACATGGAGGCACTTCTGAAAAGGTCCGAAAAAGTGGTAGGATAGTGGAAAAAATTCAAAAATTCAGTGAGGGAAGGCATACCACTGAAGGAACTTTTGCAATACCCTCGCGACCGTGAGTGGGTGCCTGAGATCAGCGAGATAGTCGATTTCTCCGCCACCGTAGACCACCCTATTGAACTCCGCCCGAACCAGGTAATTGAGGGGTTTGGGTCAGATGACCTGCTTGAACATATCACCCTATTCACGGCTACTCAACGCCCGCTCCGTTCCAAGTAGTCCAAGGTTTCCCAACAGTTTTTTTTTTGATTCCATGTGGTGTCACCTAATCCTGTAGCAGTACAAAGTTTCCAAGAAGGTACGGGCGACGACATGTGGGGAAGATATTCTTCTTGAGTTGGTCGATGTAACCGCCAGCGCTCAGCTTCAGTTCCGGGGTCCACGAAGAAAATATTGGTCTTTCCATTCCAGGTACGTCCGGTCCCTACCATCAAACCTGCGCCTTGCGCGACTGGGTGAAGATTGATGTCCTGGCGCCTTAGACCGACGTTGACGGAAGGCTGGCTCGATGATGAGCTTTCTAGATCGAGATACTTCTCAGGTAGCTATCCATGGGTGACTCCATACTAGAAGTTTCGCAGCTGTTTGGAGGTGACATGAGTTCCGAAGGTCTTCTCCAGTCAGGTTGCGGCTGGAGATGACTTCATATTTTGGTGTACATGAAGGTGATGGGTTGAGAGGTGCTCCTGCTTATCGAG